TCTTATTAAAAATTATCATATATATGTTTACCATATTGGATAAATTCGTAACTTTTATTTAAGGAAATAATATAGAATATTTTTTTTGTACATTACTAATTAATTTGATAATTAGTTTGATAAAAACTATAAGATATGTTTAAATAGACCAACATTTTTTTCTAAAGATTCTAAAAATCATTGTGAATATGACACGTGGTTACCAAAATATGTTGTAATGTTTTTCAATTAATATATAAGAGATTCTGCATCATAGATGTTTTCCTTATTTTAGCAATTATATATTATTATTATGTTAAGATGGAGTCAATTATTATACTTAATATTCAGTCACTTACGGATAATGAAATAATGAACCAGCATATATCAAATCTCTACGCACCAATATACATCTCTTATATCAGTTAATTAGGTGCTTTACCCGCACATGCGGGCATAATTTTCGTACAATTTATTATTAGTCTTTATTTTATTAATTCAAACCAATATAATAACTTATAATTTATGTTTTAAAATTAATTATAAATGACAACACTCACATAACAAAATATATTTAAAAATATTTTACAAATATGTTGCTTTAATTTATTTTTAATTATAATTTTTTCTATCTTAATTTTTTTATTTCTATAATAAAAAATATATTTTCAAGATAACAATATACATAAGAATTATCTTATTTTCTAAAAGTATAATATTATTAGTATAGATTCGTATTATTATATGATAAATTATTCATAAATTATTAAAAATATAACAAATAAGCAAAATTACAAAAATCATGGAGAAGTTACAAATCAATTAGTTAATTCACTTGAATTTTATAATAGTTATTTTGTATTAAGAAGTAACTTTGCTATAAGAAGTAAATTTGCTTAGTTGTCAACTTCTTCTGATTTTAGGTAAATTTGTTTATTTACCTTATTTAAATAATTTCATATACAATTTATTATATAATAAAAACGAATTTATATTAACAATATTATATTATAGAAAAATATATTTTTAAGATAACAATTTAATACAAAATAATCAACATATTTTTCTAAAATATAATATTGTTAATATAAATTTGTTTTTATTATATAATAAATTGTATATGAAATTATTTAAATAAGGTAAATAAACAAATTTACCTAAAATCAAGGAGAAGTTGACAACTAAGCAAATTTACTTTTTATATAATAGTATAGATATTTAATATCCTGAAACATACACCAAAAATAAGCCTTTACTCAAAAGAAAATCTAAAAATAAAAATAAACCAACATATATCAAAAAGTTAAATAGTTACAAAATGATAAAATGTAAATAAGATGTTATAATATTTTGATTGTCTTAAATTACATGTTTAATTAAAAATATGAAAATAAACAAAACTATTAATTATAAACACTAATTATATGCCAAATAAACAAAATTACCTAAAATTATGGAAAACATGACAAATAGACAAAATTACCTATAATTATGGATATGATGACAAATCAGCAAATATAATTCTCAAATAATAGTATACTAGGTGTTTTGCCCGCACTTGCGGGCTTAATAATTTTCTAATATCTATAAACAAATATAATCAGTTTAAGTAAATTATAATAAATTATTGTTCATACACTCAAAATATTTAATAATAATCTAAACAAATTCTTTCTATATATAAAATTTTTCATCATCATATAAATAATTGTCATACACAAATTAAATGTGAAAATATTCATAAATTTAAAATATTTAGTAATAATTTAATATCATTTTTAGACATAACAAAAATGTATAATAAAATTATCTTTAGTAATGTAAACTATCTATACATAAATTCTTTGCGAATTATTTTTTCATAACTAAATATATATTAACAAATATAATTATTTTTCAAAGTTAATACAGACTTATAACAGAATTATAAAAAATTAGATAATGATAATTATCAAATTCATGAAATTCGTTTTTAATTTAGAATTAATTATATATTATCAAATATAATTATTTTCAATGTTGATAAAGACATAATATAAAAAAATTAAATAAGGATGATTATCAAATAAATGAAATTCGTTTTTAATTATAATTAATGATATATTACTAAAAATATAATTATATTTCAAGGTTAATAAAGATTTTATAACCCAATATAAAATAGTTTTAGATAAAGATAAATTTAAAATCATTGAAATTCGTTTTTTACTTATGTTTAATTATATAATGATTTTTTTAATTATTATATAGTGAAATCTTTTTTTGGTCAAATGGTAATAACTATTAGTCATTATATAGTAATAAATCTAATTAGTCATTAAGTTTATGTTTGTTTTGTCATTAAAGGTAGTAAAAATCATAAGAACATGACAATTAGATTTACTATCCTTAATGGCGAATCAAACATAAACTTAATGACTAATTAGATTTATTAATATGTAATTAATAATTCGATTTATTATAATCGTTGGTCTAGATAATGATAATCATCAAATCTTAAGAAACATGACAAATAAGATTTGTTTCTAATTATTATATATTAATAGATCCAATTAGTCATTATATAGTAATAAACCAAATTAATCATTAAATTTATGTTTGCTTTGTCATTAAGGATAGTAAATCTAATTAATATACGGTTCATAATTATATAATAATAATTTTATTTAGTCATAAATTAAGGATAATAATTAATAATTAATCAAAATCATAAAAACATGATAAAATAATTATAATTACATAAAATCATGGAGAATATGACAAATCAGCAAATTCACCTTTTTAAATATAATTAATTTATTTTTATTTATATATTAATTCAGTTTTAGTTTATGGTTTATTAATATCAACTATTTTTAGATAATAATAGTCATCAAATTAGTGAAATTTGTTTCTAATTTATGATTGATTATATATTAATTAAATATATTTTCTGATAACAACACAATATATATAGAAATTATCTTTTTATTTTATTTTAGTTTTAAATATATATTTAAATTATGGATAATTCTTATCATTATTATTAATTTAAATCATTTATCTAATCAAATAAATATAAACTCGTTTTTTTTTTCGGCTGATTTATATATTTTATCCATTAAAGGTATAAATGATATTAATCACTCCAACTTTTAACGTGGAAGCTCCGTTGCGAAAAATCACTTTGCAAATTTAAGTAAATTATCTGATTTGTAATTTCTCCATAATTTAGATAAGTTTGATTATTTGTCATATTTTTAATAATTTCATATAAAATTTATTATAAAATAAAAACGAATTTATATTAATAATTTTATATTTTTCTAAAATAAGATAATTCTTATGTATTATGTTGTTATGTTGAAAATATATTTCCTATTATAAAACTTGATATTAAGATATAAAAATTATACTATTAATAATTAAATATAAATCTTCAAAACAATTATTTGAAAAGTGAATTTGTTGATTTGTCTTCATGTTCCTAGATAATTTTGATCATTTATCTGAATTACTCTAATTTTTTTATTATTGATTATATAATTAAAACTAATTTATACTAACAATATGATATTTTAGAAAATAAGTTAATTCTTATTTATTATGCTGTTATCTCTAAAATATATTTTTCTATTATAAAATGTAAAATTAACATGTAAGAAAATCTATACAATTATTTAAAAAATGAATTTAATGCTTGTTGATTTGTCATATTTTCCATGATTATAGGTAATTTTGATAGTTTATCATAATTTCTCTAATTTTATATATAATTTATTATATATTTAAAACAAATTTATATTAATAGCATCATATTCTTAGAAAATAAGATATTTCTTATGTATTAAGTTGTTCTCTTGAAAATATATTTTTCTATTGGAAATTTAAAATTAAGATATAAAAAGTTGTAGTTATTTTATAATTGAAATAAATTTACATTAATAATACATAAGAATTAACTTATTTTCTAAAATATCATATTATTAATATAAATTAGTTTTAATTATATAATCAATAATAAACAAAATTATAGTAATTCTGATATATGATCAAAATTACCTAGGATCATGGAGACAAATCTCAAATTCACTTTCAAATAATTGTTTTGATTATATATATTCCATTATGATTTATATTTAATTATTAATAATATAATTTTTCTATCTTAATTTTAAGCTTTATAATAGGAAAATATATTTTCAACATAACAGCATAATACATAATAATTATCCTATTTTAGAAAATATCAAATTATTAACAAAATTCGGTTTATTTATATTTAAATATTCAATTATTAATATAAATTCGTTTAAGATAAGTAGAAAAGTCTATATCTTAATTTAAAATTTCAGTTTTATAAATAAAAATATATTTCAAGATATTAACATAATTCAATAACAACATAATTCACAAGAATTATCTTATTTTCTAAAAATATGATATATTCTTATAATTTGTTTTATTTATAAATAAAATATATAGAAATATTAAAAATTTGATAAATAAATAAAATTACCTAAACTTATATAGAACATGACAACTAAGCAAATTTATAGAAAATAAGATAATTCATATAAATTCGTTTTATTTATAAATAATATATATATAAATATTAAAAATATAATAAATAAATAAAATTACTTAAACTTGTGGAGAACATAACAACTAAGCAAATTTGATTCTTAAATAATAGTATAGAAGATTCGTTTTATTTATAAATAAGATATATATAACTACTAAAAATATGATAAATAAATAAAATTACCTAAACTTATGGAGAACATGACAACTAAGCAAATTTACTTGGTAAATAATAGTGTAGATATATAACTATTAAAAATATGATAAATAAATAAAATTACCTAAATTTATGGAGAACATGACAACTAAGCAAATTTACTCTTAAATAATAGTATAGATAGATATGATATTGTACCTAATTATCTATGTATATCTATATAATATAATAGAAGGATTGACTCATTAACAAAATTACAGAAGGTGTACGCTATTCACCATCAAGGAGAAAGAGCAAAACAATGGTCTGTTGGACGTGGTAAGTGGACCGGTGTTTCCTTTTTTTGTGTGTTTTCAATGACTATTTGATATCTAATTGATATAATTCATGATTTTTTATTGAAATTGAATGGCAGGTCATGGAAGCCAACATTGTACGTGATCATCATGCACACACTCATCCTCTCGTCTTGTATTGCAGCCTTCTTGTACATTAAACACACCAAGATCCCTTTGGATCGACACCAATACATTTGGGGATTGTTAGTACTCTTAATCGTATACTTCAATATGGCCTGTACATCAGTCGTGATAACCTGGGTTTGTGAACGAGTTTGTGATCGGGATTCATATTCGGATTCGGATTCCTCGGACCACCCAAATGAACGTAAGCCCTTGGGAGCTTTCTTCTTAGCCGAATGTCTGAGTCATGGCTTCGGGCTGGCTCTCCTTGTCTTTCTCCTTTATATTATTTCTCCCAAGCTTGCACTTTGTGTTGGAATACCAGCTGCAGTGTACTTCATAGTCGCTACAGTTTGCGTCTGTAATTGCGTTTTCTTATGTATATCTGCTTAGGTTTCGTTCATCAAGTTACTTTGTTCAGTTTGTTGGATAAGCTTCAATAGCTTGCAGCTAAAGTTATTATAAGATGTGAATGTGGCATGGTTTAATATACTCTGACTTTGACCGATGTAGTTGTGGTTTTAATTGCCGGTTGATAGAATAGATTTTGTAGCCTCTAGGGTCGGCAGCTAGGGATGATGGGGCGTAGCAACCTGTGTTGTAACCGTTAGATTAGGCCGCTGTATCTCCGTGGAGTTTTCTCGGATTAAAATGGATTTTTTTTTGTATTTCACTGGTGGTTTTTGTTGGGACCGCTAGGGGTGACCAACTGACCACTAGAGAATGGTGAATTTAGTGGTCTAGGTAAAGACCGCTAGACGTGGCAGCTAAGAGCTCTTCTGACTCCAAACTCTTCATTTCGTTTAATTCTACTTTCCAAATACTCCATTTCATCTAAACACTTGCTCCAAAAGTTCCACTATGCAAATGCACATGACACTATAGCTTAAAACGAGCTAAATGGGTGAATGAATACATGAGATATAACAAAGCTAAAACTATGTAAAATCACAAATACATCAATGACTCAGCAGCAACCCACAATATCATACAATGAGAAAGGATTGCACGGTTTCTAAACCACTAGTATTATACAACAAATCCACATATAGAATTACCATTAAAAAGAAACCGATCTAAGTGGGCAAATTAAAATATTAAGTCGACTTAGAAATATGAAGAAGTCTTAAATATACTACAGACTAAAATAACCATAATATATACTATATACGATAAATTATATATACGTTAATAATCTCAAGATCATGCATGGTATATTATCATTTAATAGATTGACAAAACCTAGTAGAACGCCAAATTCGATCACAAAATCAACGTTAATTCAATATCAACTTAATAACCAGGTAATAAAAGACAAGATACTTTAATGGCTACCAATATGAGCCATAAGTATCAATATATTCCTCTTATTGGTGGTGACAATTCATATTAGTCAAACGTTGAATGTGACACTCACTGTAGCAAATAACGTAATTTGGGTTTAACACTCATCAAAGACACAATGATTTGTGATAGGTCCTTGACTCCTTGCTTAGTTGCTTGTACATATATGATCCATCTATTTATCCATTGGCCACTATACATCGCTCGTTTTCTTTTATAACTTTTTCGTGCCTTTTTCCCGAATGTTTGGACGGAATCTGAGTTATGTGAAACTATCATTTTGTATAACTATCCATTTGAAAAAAAAATAACATCGGATTTATCTCCTAATACTTGAGTGAATGAATACAAATGACGAAACATTCAATTCTTTAATATATTTATTATTTAATAATTTGTATAAAATAAAAAGTGATTAGTGGAAAAATGGTTTTTTGTATATTGTGAAGCTATATTGAAAATTAATATGCTAATTTGTAAAATATTGGACCGTAAAAATACATGTTTGTCAGGCATGTATAAGCATACAACATATTTCAATCTTAGTCTAGTTAACAGGATTACAAATTTACAATTGCATTTGAAATGTCACTCTAGTTATAGCTATATCTCTTATCCTCCTATATATTAATTTAGAAGTCACTTTAATGAATTTTTCTTAGATATATTCATAGGTTCAATGTAGAATTAATTTTCTTAATTTGATTCGTTGTTGGTATTTGAATTTTTATTTATTTAATAAAAAAATTTAAAAGAAAACTAATTTTAGAATTACCTAATCTAATGTATATTACCAAACAAACAATTAACCACCTTAAATATATATGATTAATAGAATTTCTTTATAGAAACAATTAAATATCACAGAATCCATTATAAGAAAATAGAATATACATATAAATATAGTATTTTTATAGAAATAAGTATATAAACAATTTTAATACATGACAATACTGATTAACCTAAACCTAATTAAATTTCTTATACTCACTCACTATATATATAAAAAATTTTCAGTGAATGTGAAACAGCCAAATGTACAATTTGACAAAATTCCAATCATTTTCAGAGATAAATATCGATAGTATAGTTGAGTTATCACTTTGAAAAATGATTTAAGTATTTTTTATATTTAAAACAGAAAATTATATAGTAATTCATTTTAAACAATATTAATAAATGAAATTTTTTATTATCATATAAAATTGCAAAAATCAGAACATTATATTAATATGAAACTAGAGTTAATACTCTATTAAATATAGCTTTGAGTATAACAAAATTGGCATGTTTATTTTTAATAAGAAAAAAAGAAAAGAGACAAATAAAAAAACATGAGTGAATAATAATAAAACTTATTGTTGCATTCTTCGTTATTTTATATTTTTACATACATATTTTTTATTTGTATACAGAAATATTTTTTTTTACGTATTACTATATTTGTAAACTAATTAGTTATAGGTGTTTATACAACATGAAAAAAATTGAGCAAGGAAGATACATATAGATGATAAGTTCTAAAATTGTTAATTTGAAAGATGAAAAAATTTAAATTTGAAATAAATTATTTTAAAAGACTTACAAATATTTTTTGCAGTATAATAAACTTTCAAAAAGTAGGATAACAAAGTTATAACAAAATTTATACAAATAGAAACATGTTATATTGATATATTAAAACTGTTGAATCTCGCTTTATATTAAGTATCAATGTCTAATATTATGACATCACATCATTTAAGAATTTATATACTTTATGATATATAATTATTTAATCAGATTTACATTTTTGAAATACAGTTAATCAGATTTACTTAAAATATATATGTTTTGAAGTAGTTTTAAAGCAACGAAAATAATATCTTTTAAAATTATTGATTTTGCAATGAAAATCTTGGTCAAAGGAATGAATGTTTGATAATAGTGTGAAGATTGGAGAGAATTTAATAATGAATTGGTTTGGTTAACCAATTGTGAGTTTTATGTTAAACTCTAAATAAAAAGTATGTAAGAAAGGGAGAAAGAGAGGGAGAGATGGTGATGATGAGAATTAGAGTGACGTTATGATCATGATGAAGATGTTGAATGAATATAAGTGAGAGACTGAATGTAAGTGAGATAAATCCTGAAATTATTATTAATACTATTTAAGAATGTTTTGAAGATTTAACAAAATCTTGTGAAAACTTTGCAACAAAAGAGAGATATAGAGAGTTTGAAAGTGAAATATTGAGGGTTATACTAAGAATGAAGGTAAGAGAATGAATATAAGTGAATGTGAGAGAGTGAACGTAAGTTTGAGAGATTTTGAAATTATTTGATCAACTGAGAGAGAGAGAGAGAAAGGAAAAGAGAGCGAGAGAGGTATAAAGACAACAAAAAAGAATGCGATGAGAGATACATAAGAGACAGAACAAATGTGTGAGCAAAAACATAAAGAGAAACGAACGGAGTACATGTGTAAAAGAGAAAGAGAGTAACAATATATTACACACTTGCGGACCGTCCACCTAATTTTTATTAAAAAGAAGAACTTAACGTGGTCAAACTTTGTTGTAGGATTATACAATTTGCAGAATACACTGAATTTGTGGTACTTTGTAGAAATAATTTTTAATATACAAAATAAAAGGACTTCGAAATTCGGTTGAAATAATATGGTAACACAATAACCGGAACTTGCAAGCGACTTGGATATAAACCAGAGCAACAACTCTTTTAATTTGTCTTCCCACTCTTCTGCAACAAGTCCACTTTTAGATCATCTGCTTCAGGCTCCTCAAGCTTCAATAGTCACGAAGGAGAGGCACAGTAACATGCAGACGAGGCTTCACGCTCATCGGGTAGAAGCATCATACTATTGAATATCACAAGCAAACAATTCCTTGCATCTGCAAGTCCTACCTTCATCCCTTGGCTCTCGAACTCATCTATCAATTATTCTTGTATTGTCTTGTGGAAGAAGTTATGCGTGACCTATATCCGAAGCATTCCCTAGCTGTATAAATTATTAACCTCTATTAAAATAGAGACAAGGGAATATAAGATAATGACTCTGCTTCCCCTGTTCTTGAATAGACATGGCTGCATTTCGATCATCTCCTGTGAACATTGCAGTTTTGATGTTTAAGGACTTGAGAAGCCCCATGTTGACAACCATCAAAATGTAAATATATAACAATGGACTTACCTTGCTTCATATTAGCTTTGATATCCGGAATGTTATTTAGCATCCACATAGAAGAGACATAAATTACAAATGTTAGATATTGCAAGTGTGATTGGAAGTGGAAGAGGGTATAAGATGTGTGTAGATCCTAAAATCTACACTAAGTATTTTGTAGTGATTAAGAATTAAATCTAGGGACGACAAATAATGTGGGCAACAATGCTCTTAGAACACAATGACATAATCGGAGTTCAGTTGATAAAAATGGACTTTATTGATATGAGATTTGATACAAAGAAGTAATCAAGATCGGAAGTTACAAGGTGAGATCGAAACTAGAACAAGTTTGAGACAAAGAAACAAGGTCGATAAGAGTAGTGGTGAGCTCTAGAGTTTTCCGTGTGTATTTGCTCTTTGTTCTCGTCCTTACTTTATAGCTTTCTTCTGGCTGATACTTCTCAACCGTCTCTATGATCTTCGGGGTATCAACTCGATTTCGTCGGGCTCGACTCAAGCTGAGTTGCTAAGGACGACACATGGGCCTGAGCCCATTTGGTTCTTTCCCGAAATTGAGTCCAACAATGTGCTTGTTTTATTGTTTTTCTTTTGGGTTTGAGAATGTAAACCTGTTTAAATATTACACTAAGATTACTGCTTGATTAAATTTAGACCAATTTAGATTCGATTAAACAAATTATTATCGACTAGAATGATTTAAACAGATTTGAATTGCAAAAATAGGATAATAGCATTATCATTCTTCTCAAGAATACCTTTGGCTATGTTTCATATAGGTGATACATACACAACATATATACCACATTCTGTATAGTTTACTATAAGATATGCCTCACTTTCGTCTTCCCCTCTCTACTTACTACTAAAGAAATATTTCAGTTTCACTTTCTCAATCCTCTCAAGAAGCTTCTTGTAACCAGGAACCTCCAGTTCCGGCAACTTCTTCAGATAACCAACAGCAGCACCAGAAACCATCAGCTTCTTACACTTCTTCCTCGAACACAAAGCCGCCAAAACCGAAACGGCATACTTTTTGGCTGAGTTGCTAGTACTAGGCGCAAGCAACATCACAACACTCATCATCACACTCTTCACTTCTCTGCAGTTCCTTGGAACAGTAACTAGGCTCGCTATAGCTTGAGCAGCAACCTCTCTAGCTCCTTTCTCTTTCGCCTCCAACATTCTTATACAACCAGACTCACCAACCATTCTCTTAGTCTCATTCGATGTAGCAATCCTGCTAAGAGTCGATGCAGCTGTTTGTTGAGCTCTGACTGATCCTGATTCAAGAACATGGACTAAACTTGGGATGATCTTAACAGAAGTCTCCATAGAAACAGAATTAACGAGGTTCCGAATCACCGCAACTCCAGGTTCTTGAGGGAGAGGTCTGTCTAAGTAAGCGAGCAGAGTTTGAATCCCGTTCTCTAATACAACCAATCTTCTAAGAGCTTCATTGCTGGAAGTAAGATTCTGAAGACACTCCGCTGCGTACTCTTTAGATACCAACAGAACTCCGCAGTTAAGCAGGTTAATCATCACTTAACGATTCATTCTTCGGCAAGGTTTTGTCTTACTTCAGGAACAGAGGAGATGTTCTTCAAAGTACAAGCGGAAGCAGCTTGAGAAAAACAGAGTCCCCTGTTTTGAAAATCTTGATCAACGAACTAACCTCTCCGTGACCAACAATCAAACGCGATGTCGCCGATGAAAACGACAATCTATGCAACGTAATAACAGCTTTCTCTTTAGCTACTTGACTTTCGGATTCAAGCAGTCTTATCAATGGCGGCAATGCGTTCTCTGTGACAAGCCAGTTCTCACATTTTTCTGATTCTGCTAAATAGCAGATCACATTCACAGCGTTCTCTCTTACACTAGGCGAAGTAATATCTGCACCAATTTTTCTTGATGAGATAATTGAATGAATGGAGTAGTTGAATGAGTGGTGAACAAGATGTAAACAAGGGGATGTATTTGAAAATAAAAACAAAAAGGGAGAAGGCATCAAAAGAGTTTTGAGAATCTTGAAATGATTCACAACAAAGGTTTCGATGTTTAATGGAAAACAAAACCTTACCAGACACAATTTAATAAGTGCTAATAAAAGCCAGTTTGCTTTTACTTGCGTCGGTGTGAACATTGATTGCTATAAAAGCTAAAAGATGATATGACAATAAATTAATAGAAGTACATCCATCAATCATCTACTATATGAGATTGTTTAAGTGAAAGGTTCAAACAGTCATGGAATATTGAAGAAAGAAGACTAGAATACCCTTATGACGAACAATCCTGAGAGAGCTCCAAACACAAGATGTGAGTCTCTTTCAACAATTTGTGTGCTTAAAATTTCATGAAGAGTATGAACCAAACTCCAATAATACTAAACTCCAATAATACTACACGTAAGTTCGGTGCCACATCCAAACTTGTCTTTGCTGCAAGAAAAGAAGAAAGATTTTGTTTTCCTCAAAAGCTTGAGTGAAATGCAAGGGATATTATTCAGAGCAGACAAGACTGGGTAAATGGATAATGGAAGTTTTTTATTGGGAAAGCTTCAGTGAAGCTAAGTAAAAATGGGAAAATGGAAGTTTTTTATTGCAGTGCTGTCTGAAGGAACTCAGATAGACAATAAGTAAACAAAAACTTTGAATTTAACTCCAAGATCTATGCTTTAAAACTCAAGTCATCAAGACATTACTATCTCAAAAAACTCATCCAAAATACATAAAAGGAAACTACAAAGAAACTAAAAGAAAAGAAGTGGCTGGCTAAGAGAGAGAGAGTGGAGAGCCCATCGTGTTCACTTTTTCCTGAAAGAGCAACCTTCAGTGAGCCTAGCCTTTCCTCCTGTGGGTTGGCACAACACAGTCTGGCAGTTTCCACACACCACAACCGTCTGCGAGTGGCTGAACACCGTTGTACTGCACAAACACAACCCCAATTCATCACAAAATTACATAGAAAAAACATGGACAGATTCAAAAACAAAGAAAGGTTAAAAAGACTACTCTTCAATGCTTACATGTTAAAGCAGCCTTGGCACTTCACATCCTACAATCAAAACGAATCACATAAAAAAGGCTCTAATCATTAAACCAATGAGAACAAAACTTCAATAACTCCATTCACAACAGTTATAAACCTCAAACAGTGGCAAAGAGTGATGATAAATTAAACAGCAAAAAAAGGTTTAAACTTTGAAGAAAAGAAAGAAAGTACCATGAAAAAGGAGTTAGGGGACTGAACAAGACGCTTGAGTTTGTGCTTCCTCTTCTCAAGCTCAGCTGGTGGGTTTAGCAGATCAATATCGTTTTGAAGAACCTGAGACAATTATTCAAAGTAACAGCCTTTTAATCAGAACAAGTTTAATTATCATTCAATCCAAAGTCAATCACAACCTAAGAATTGCAGTCGGACAAGACACAATTGAAATTCTATACTAACCATCTTCGTTAGCTGCAAGTGATGGCAAGCCTCAGAGAATGTAGAATCAGCCGACAAAATGCTTTTTTAAGGTAGTAAACCCTAATTTTGAGCTAACGACAACGCCCTTTATAAACAACACTCTACACGTAAACCAGAAACCGACCTAAACGCCACCAGAATCTCCGTTAGGGCGTGGGTTCGAAAGTTGCTCCACACAATTTATTTTGTTGAGAAATAGTAATATGGGCTGAAATATATTAGTTACATAGCCCATCATTTGCAACATGTAACTAGGTGATTTGATTATGTATTGTTTTCCCAACAAATGGCATTGGCTATCAATTGAGCAGAGATAGACCAATGAAGTAGACATTATAATGTTCTAACTAGATAAGACCCGCGCCTTGCGCGGGATGAAGCTATTATTTTTATTATGTTTTTAAAAATGAAACAATAGTTCGGTTTCATTCGGATTAGAGGTGTTCAATCCGGATATCGGGTTTCGGTTCGGCTCGATTTTTTGGTATTTCGATCATTAAAATATAACTATTATTCTAAATCTATATGTACTTCAGTTTGATTTGGTTTATATACCATCGGTTTTCAGTTTATTCAATATTTAGTTTGAGATCATATTATATATTATACAAATATATAATATGATCATATTTAGAGTCATATTGTCACAGAGTCATTTATTAAAAAAATATTGTATATTTAAATAAAAGAATAAAAAACAAAAAAAAGCTTATATCATCTAATAAAATAATCAAATCTAGAATTAATATCAAAACACTAAATTTTGAAAATAAAAATAAAAAAACAAAACAGAAGCATGAAAGAAATTTTTTTATATTCTTCCATATTTAGTGTTCATCAAACCAATATGTATTCGATTGAACACAACTCTGTTTATTTAAAGATAAAAAAAGTTGTAAAGAATTTCAACTAATTGTTGTCCATCAAATTTATAATCTTTACTTCAATTTAGTTACTGTTAAAAAAGCAAAAGATCAAAATAAGAAGTCTTAGTTGTAATAAATTGTTAGCTTTTTACAAATTATAATTATAGTTCAACTCATGTAACAAATAGATATTCATGCGTCGTTATAAATATATATATTTACATGTTTAAGTTTAATCGATTATAAATCAAACCATATCCAAATCATATGGTTTTATAAAATCACATCCATTCGGTTTGTATGGTATATACCAAAAATAACCATATTATCGATTGTTAATATCTTTTAAAAATATAAAATTAAAAAAAGAACTAAGATATTTAAATCATTGATAACAAAAAAATTCAATGTGAAAAATTTAATAAGTTTATAATTTATAAATGTTCTTGAAAATTTATTGAAAATTTTGAAATTAAAATATTTATGTAATCTTATATGGTATATAGTTTATTCTGTATATATATATATATATATATTTGTTTTATTATTGAATGATACTTTTTACTTATATGGTTTTAAAATCATGTATATCTTTTTATAATAAAATGTTAAACTATTGATCATTAATTTTTAACATAATAATTTTAATAGTTTAGTTATTTATTCTCGTTTCTTAAAATTCAAAATATAACCTATACT